ACCTCGTCGTTCTCGTCGTCGTCGTCATCGTTGTCTTCGTCGTCGTCGTCTTCGGCGTCGCCGCTGTCGTGCTCGTCGTCGTCGTCGTCCTTTTCGTCCTCGTCGTCGTCCTCGTCGTCGTCGACCTCGTCCATGTTGTCGTCGTCCTCGTCCTCGTCGGCGGCGTCGTCGTCGCCGTCGTCGCTCTTGCCGTGGTAGTCGTCGTCCTCGTTGTCGTCACCGTCGTCGTCGTCGTCGTCCTCGTCGTCGCCGTCGTCCTCGTCGTCGTCGTCGTCGTCGTCGACGTCCTCGTCGTCCTCGTCGTCCTCGTCGTAGTCGTCCGTTTCGTCATTGCCGTCGCCGTCGTAGTAGGCATCGTCGTCCTCGTCGTCCTCGTTGTCGTCCTCGTCCTCGTCCTTGTCCTTGTCCTCGTCGTCGTCCTCGTCTTCGTCGTCCTTGTCAACGTCCTCGTCATCGTGTCCTCATCGTCGTCCTCGTCGTCCTCGTCGACGTTCTCGTTGTGGTCCTCGTCGTCGTCCTCGTCGTCGTTCTCGTCTTCGTCCTCGTCGTCGTCGCCCTCGTCGTCCCCGTCGTCGTCGTAGTTGTCGTCGTCGTCGTCGTCCTCGTCGGCGTCCTCGTAGTCGTCCTCGTTGTCGTCCTCGTCATCATCCTCGTGGTCGTTCCTGGCGCCGTCGTCGTCGTCGTCAGCCTTTTCGTCCTCCTCGTCGTCGTCCTCGTCGTCCTCTTCGTCGTCCTCGTCGTCGTCCTCGTCCTTGTCCTCGTCGTCGTGCTCGTTGTCGCCGTCCTCGTCAACGTCCTCGTCATCGTGTCCTCGTCGTCGTCCTCGTTGTCGTCGCCCTCGTCGTCGCCCCCGTCGTCGTCGTAGTTGTCGTCGTCGTCCGTCCTCGTCGTCGTCCTCGTCGTCGTCCTCCTCGTCGTCCTCGTTGTCGTCCTCATCATCGTCCTCGTGGTCGTTCCCGTCGTCGTCGTCGTCGTCGTCGTCAGCCTTTTCGTCCTCGTCGTCGTCGTCGTTGGCGGCGTCCTCGTCATCGTTGTCGTTGTTGTCAGACTGCTCGTCTCCGTCCTCGTCGTCGTCGTCCTCGTCGGCGTCGGCGTCGTCGTGGTCTTTCTCGTCGTCGTCGCAATCGTCGTCGTCATCGTCCTCGTCGTTCTCGTCGTCGTCCTCGTCCTCGTCCTTGTCCTCGTCCCTTTCGTCGTCCTCGTCGCCGCCGTCGTCGTCCTCGCCGTCGTCGTTGTCGTCGCCGTCGTCGTCGTCGTCGTTGTCGTCGTCCTCGTCGACGTGCTCGTCGTCGTCCTCGTCGTTCTCGTCGTCGTTCTCGTGGTTGTCGTCCTCGTCGCCGTCCCTGTCGTCCTCGTCGTCGTCCTCGTTGTCGTCAGCGCCGTCGTGCTCGTCGTCTTCGTCGTCGTCTTCGTCGTCGTTGTCGTCGTCCTCGTCGGCATCCTCGTCCCCGTCGACGTCGTCCTCGTCGTCCTCCTCGTCGTCCTCGTCGTCGTCGTCGTCGTCGTTGTCGTCGCCCTCGTCCTCGTCGTCATCGTCTCCCGTCTTCGTTCTCGTTCTCCTCGTCGTCGTCCTCGTCGTCATGTTCGTTGTCCTCGTCGTCGTGTTCCTCGTCCTCGTCGTCGTTCTCGTCGTCGTCCTCGTCGTCGTCCTCGTCATCGTTGTCCTTTGCCTCGTCGTCGTCCTCGTTGTCCTGGTCGCCCTCGTCGTCATGCTCGCTGTCGTCCTCGTCGTCGTCCTCGTTGTCGTCCTCGCCTTCGTCGTGGTCGTCCTCGCCGTCGTCCTCGCCGTCGTCCTCGTCATCGTCGTCCTCGTCGGCGTCCTCGTCCCCGCTGTCGTCGTCGTCGTCGCCGTCGTTCTCGCCGTCGTTCTCGTCGTCGTCATCATCGTCGTCCTCGGCGTCGTCGTCGTCCACGTCGGCATCCTCGTCGTCGTCCTCGTCATCGCTTTCCTTGGCGTCGTCCTCGCCGTCTTCGTCCTCGTCGTTGTTGTGGTCCTTGTCATCGCCGTCGTCGTCCTGATCCTCGTCGTCGTCGTCCTCGTCGTCCTCGTCGTCGACGTCCTCGTCGTCGTCGGCGTCCTCGTCGTTGTCGTCGTCCTCGTCGTAGTCGCCACCGCCGCCGCCGCCGTCGTCGTCGTCGTCGTCGTCCACGTCGTCGTCCTCGTCGTCCTCGTTGCCGTCCTCGTCGTCGTCCTCGTCGTCCTCGTCGTTCTCGTCGTCGCCCTCGTCGTCGTCCTCGTCGTCGTCCTCGTCGTCGTCCTCGTTGTCGTCCTCGTCGTCGTCCTCGTCCCCGTCGTCCTCGTCCTCGTCCTCGTCCTCGTCGTCGCCGTCCTTGTCCTCGTCGTCGTCCTCGTCCTCTGTGTCGTCCTTGTCGTCGTCCTCGTCCTGGTCGGCGTCGTCGTTCTCGTCGGCGTCCTCGTCCTCGTCCTCGTCGTCGTCCTCGTCGTCATCCTCGTCGTCATCCTCGTCGGCGTCCTCGTCGTCGTCGTCCTCGTCGTCCTCCTCAGCGTTGTCCTCGCCCTTGTCTTCGCCCTCCTCGTCGTCCTCGTCGCCGTTGTCGTCGTCGTCGTCCTGCTCGTCTTCGTTGCCGTCCTCGTCGTCGTTGTCGTCGTCCTCGTCCTTGATGTCGTCGTCCTCGTCGGCGGCCTCGTGATCGTCGTCCTCCTCGTCGTCCTTGTCGTCGTGCTCGCCGTCGTCCTCGCCCTCGTGCTCGTCGTCCTCGCCGTCGTCCTCGTCAACGACGTGCTTGCCGTCGTCGTCGTTCTCGTCGTCGTCGTCGTTGTCGTCGTCCTCTTCCGGGTCGTCGTCGTCGTCTTCGTTGTTGTCCTCGCCCACCTCGCCGTCGTCGTCGTCGTCGTTCTCGTTGTCGTTTTCGCCCTCCTCGTCGTCCTCGTCCTCGTCGTCCTCGTCGTCGTCCTCGTCCTTGTTGTCGTCGTCCTCGTCGTCCTCGTCCCTATCGCCGTCGTCGTCGTCCTCGCTGTCGTCCTCGTCATCGTAGTTGTCCTCGTCGTCGTCCTCGTCGTCGTCGTCCTCGTCGTCCTCCTCGTCGACGTCATCGTCGTTATCCTCGCCGTTGTCGTCGTCGCCGTCCTCGTCGTAGTCCCCGCCGCTGCCGTCGTCGTCGTCGTCGTCCTCTTCGTCCTCGTCGTCGTCCTCGTCGTTGTACTCGTGTTCGTTCTCGTCGTCACCGTCGTCCTCTTCGTCGTCCTCGTCGTCGTCGTAGTTGTCGTCGTCGTCCTCGTCGTCGTCCTCGTAGTCGTCCTCGTTGTCGTCCTCGTTGTCGTCCTCGTAGTCCTCGCCGTCTTCCTCGCCCTCGTCGTCCTCGTCATCGTCGTCGTCATCGTCGTCGTCCTCGTCGTCGTCGTCCTCGCCGTCGCCCTCGTCATCGTCGTCCTCTTCGTCCTCGCCCTCGTCGTCGCCGCCGTCGTCGTCGTCCTCGTCGTCCTCGTCAACGTTCTCGTCGTCCTCGTCGTCCTCGTCGTTGTCCTCGTCGTCCTCGTCCTCGTGGGCTCCCTCGTCCGCGTCGTCGTCCTCGTCGTCCTCGTCGTCCTCGTCGTCGTCGTCGTCGTCCTCGTCGTCGTCGTCGTCCTCGTCATCCTCGTCATCGTCGTCGTTCTCGTCGTCGTCGTCCTCGTCGTCGTCGTCCTCGTCGGCGTCCTCCTCGTCCTCGTCGTCGTCCTCGTCGTCGTTGTCGTCCTCATCGTCGTCGTCGTCGTCGTCGTCGTCCTCGTCGTCGTCCTCGTCGTCGTCCTCGTCGTCCTCGTCGTCCTCGTCGTCCTCGTCGTCCTCGTCGTCGTCCTCGTCTGCGTCCTCGTCGTCGTCATCGTTGTCGTCGTCCTCGTCGTTGTCGTCGTCCTCGCCGTCTTTCTTGTCGTTGTCCTCGTCAACATCGTCATCGTCTCCGTCGTCCTCGTCGTCGTCCTTTCCTTCCCCATCGTCGTCCTAGTCCTCGTCGTCGCCCTCTTCGTCTTCCTCGTGGTCGTCCTCGTCGTCGTCCTCGTCGTCGCCCTCCCCGTCGTCCTCGTCGTCGTCGTCGTCCTCGTCGTCGCCCTCCTCGTCGTCCTCGTCGTCGTTGTCGTCCTCGTCGTCGTCCTTCTCGTCGTCCTCGTCGTCCTCTTCGTCGTCGTTCTAGTCATCGTCCTCGTCGTCGTCCTCGTCTTTGTCCTCGTCTTCGTCCTCGTTGTCGTCCCCGTCGTCCTCGTCGTCGTCCTCGTCGTCCTCGTCATCGTCCTCGTCGGCGTCCTCGTCGTCGCCCTCCTCGTCGTCCTCGTCGTCGTTGTCGTCCTCGTCGTCGCCCTCCTCGTCGTCCTCGTCGTCCTCGTCGTCCTCTTCGTCGTCGTCCTCGTCATCGTCCTCGTCGTCGTCCTTGTCTTTGTCCTCGTCTTCGTCCTCGTTGTCGTCCTCGTCGTCCTCGTCGTCGTCCTCATCGTTGTCCTCGTCGTCCTCGTCATCCTCGTTGTCCTCGTCGTCCCCGTCGTCCTCGTCGTTGTCCTCGTCGTCCTCGTCATCGTCCTCGTCGGCGTCCTCGTCGTCGGCCTCGTCGTCGTCGTTCTCGTCGTCGTCCTCGTCGTCCTCGTTGTCGTCGTCGTCCTCCTCGTCGTCGTCCTCGTCGTCGTCCTCGTCGTCGTCCTCGTCGTCATCCTCGTCGTCGTCCTCGTCGTCGTCCTCGTCCTCCTCGTCGTCGTCCTCATCGTCTTCGTCGTCGTCCCCGTCGTCGTCCTCGTTGTCGTCCGCGTCGTCGTTCTTGCTGTCGTCGTCGTCGCCGTTGTCGTCCTCGGCTTCCTTGTCGTCGTCGTCGTCGCCGTTGACGTCCTCGTCCGCGTCGTCGTCATCGTCCTCGTCCTCGTTGTCGTCCTCGTCGTCGTCCTCGTCGTCCTCGTCGGCGTCCACGTCGTCGTCCTCCTCGTCGTCCTTGTCGTCCTCGTCGTCGTTGTCGCCTTCTCAGAAGTTCCCCTCGCGCCAGCGCCTCTTTGCGCGCGCCGCCGCGCGCGCCGCCTCGAGGCGAGCCGCAGCCCCTGGGTGCTGGGCCAGCTGGCCTCGCGCGGGCGAGTGCCACGCTGCAGGTCTGAGCGTTGCAGAGGAGGAGGAGAAGGAGGAGGAGGAGGAGGTGGAGGAGGAGGAAGAGGGTGGTGGTGGGCACGGGCTTCCACGCTGCTGCAGCGTATGCCGAGAGTCAAACCTCGCCGCACCCCTGCGTCGAGGCAAAGTGCGCCCTCATCTTAAGAAGGGGCCCCCGAAAGTTAGGAGTTGAACCGAATATTGGACTTAGCAATCCACGGGGCCCTCCTGAGGTGCCTCCTCCGGATCGCTTCGTCTCGGTTCCTCGAAATGCGCTCGTGCTGCTGCTCGGTAACGGGGGCGGTAGGGGCAGAGAGAGGAGGAGAAGGATGAGGAGGAGGAGGAGGAGGAGGAGGAGGAGGAGGAGGAGGAGGAGGAAGAGGGAGAGAGTGAGGGAGGAGGAGGAGGAGGCGGAGGAGCTGGAAAAGGAGGAGGGAGGAGAACGGGGAGGAGGAAGAGCATGAGGGGGGACGGCAGCACTCGAACGGATCCGATGCCACCAGTCCCAGTCCTGAGGAGGAGGAGGGGGAGGAGGAGGAGGAGGAGGAGGAGGAGGAGCGTCCAAGGAAGAGGAGGCCCGAGAGTCGAGGGCTGAGGCCTTTCCTACCCCGGCAGTGCTCTCGCACTTCTTTCCCTCGCCCCTTCGCCCCCCTCGCAGCGCGTTCGCCGAGAACCTTCCAGGGGGGGGCTTAAGTCGATCGCCTGCTCTCTCCCCTCGGTGCCATGACGTGGCAGATCATCGGGCCCCGCGGCCGACGCGACCGCCAGGCCCACCCAAAGCTGGCGGCGGACCTCTTGCGCAGCCTAGCTCCTCGGCGCTGGGGGCGCGCAGCGGGACCGGCAGCCGCCGCCGGCGCGCCGCCGCGAGTGGCGCCAGCTGCGGCACCACGAATTTCAACAACCGGCAGGCCTGCCGGGGGTGCTCTGCGGCCCGCGCCGGAGCGCCAACAGCCTGCCCCCCGCCGCCCCAGGCGCCAGAGGGCGGCGGCGGCGCCGCCGCCGCTGCCGCTTGGCCGGCCCTGCCCCGGCCAGGGGCCCCTTAAGTCTTCCGCCAGGCGGCCGCATCGGCGCGGCGAGCTGGAGCCCCGGCAGAGGCCGCAGCCGCTCTTGGCGGAGGAGCGCGCCGCTCGGAAGCGCCAGGCGCAGCGCCGCAACGACAACCGCTTGGGCCACGTGCGGGAGACGGCGGAGCGGGCTGCGGCTGCGGCAAGCGCGGCGAAAGAGGCGCTGGAGGCCGCGCGGCGCCGCCTCGAGGGCCCCCGAAAGAGGGCGGCCGAAGCCGAGGCCGCAGCCCGCGCGGAAGGAGCGGCGCAGCAGGCGGCGGCGCGGGCGGCCGCCCCGTCGGGGGCCGACGCTGCGCTCCCGGAGGCACGCGCGAGCTCCTGGACAGGCTGGGCAACGGAGACCCAGCCTGGGAGCGGGCGCGCGCCAGAGCCGCTGCTGGCGGCGATGGCCGCGGCACACGCTGCCTTGGCGGCCGCTGCGCCGCCGGAGCCCCCGCCCGACCTGGGCGCCGAGCTCGGCGACGCGCGGGGCGCGAGGAGGGACTGGCGCGACGTCCGCGAGGAGGAGCGGGCAGCTCGCCGCCTGCAGGGGGCCCGCCGGGAGGCGGCCGCCGCCCGCCGGCCGGCCGCGGGCCGGCTGCCTGCCCGGGCCCCGGCGCCCGCGTCGGCGAGGCCACGCGGCCGCCCGGGGCCGGCGGCGGGAGGCGAGGTGGGCCACCCGGGAGCGGCTGCGGGCGCTGCTCCAGCCGCGGCCCGCGGAGCCGCTGACCGCGCGCCCGCGGGCGCTCAAGAAGGCTCCGCGCACGAGCCCCGAACCCAGTCAGGCGTCTCGAAAAAATCGAGGCAGAGGTTTTTCATAGTTTTTGGCCTCTCGGGGCCCTCGCCGGGCCTCGCGACCGTCAAAAACCGACTCGGGATGAGAAGCCGGCCCCAGGGAAGTGGTCGGGAGGTCGGGGGCCCACGTCTCGAACAAATCGAGATCACGTCGGATGTCTGGGAAGGCAGCGGGGCGGCGGCAGGCGGAGGGCACTACGAGCACGAGAGCGGCCCTGGCAGACCCTGGCGCCCTGGACGCACTCTGCGGGGTTTGCGACGGGATCGCGACTGGCCGCGTGCCTGAGAGCGCGGCGGCGGCTCTGGCGCTTTCCCAGCTCGCGCCGTTGCCGAGCTGGCGGGCGGCGCGCCCATTGCGGCGCCGAGTGTCTTGCGCCGGCTGGTGGGGCGCGCGCTGCTGCAGCCGCAGAAGAAGGATCTCGTGGCGAGCCTGGGCAGACGCCAGTTCGCCGTTGGCGCGGCGGCTGGCGCAGAGCTACCGGCGCTCGCATCGCGGGCGCTGGCAGAGTCTCGCCCAGATTTGGTTCTCGTGGCCTTGTACGCAAAAATCTCCCACAGCTCTCTGGGCCGGGCCGCGATCGCCGAGCTGGGAGACGCGGACCCCTCCCCCCCCTCTCCTTTGCCGGCGCATTTTTCAGCATCTGTGCCAGGGCGGCCGCGGCCGCTGCGAGCGCCTCGCGGCAGCGAGCGGCGTCGACCAGGGCGATCCGCCGGCGCCGCTGGTCTCGCAGCTGCGCCGGCTGGAGGAGGAGCTGCGAGCAGCGGCGGGGCAGGCGGGGCCCCAGGCTGACGACGTCCGAGTGCTGGCCCACCCGGGCGACGCAGCGCTGCGGTTGCCCCCGCGGCGCTTACGACCCAGGCGCTACCCGCCGCCCAGCGCGCCCTGGGCGAGCTCGGCCTCGCGCTGGAGCCCGTTGAGACGCGGGCATGGTCCGCGGGGGCGGCTTGCCCGGACGGCCTGGAAGAGTATGCCGGCGCCCGCTGGGGCCCGCGCTGGCAGGGGCGCCGCTGGCGGCGCTGGGGGCCACGGGCAACGCCCGAACGTTGTGCCAGGGTGGCCTGCCAGCGGCTGACTCGCCTGGGCCCGCTCGCGGAGCGCCGGCGCGCGCGGCGCAGACTCCCGCTGCGCTTGGGCGGCCCGGGCCTCCACGGCCAGCTGGAGGAGCAACTCGCGCCGGCGGCGTGGGCCAGGGCGCAGAGCCTCTCAGAGGTGCGCGCCCGCGCGGGCCTGGCCGCCTTGGGCGACTTGGAGGAGGCCGAGCAGTTCCTGGCGGCCGCCTGCTGGTCCGCGCGCCTCCCGCTGCCGCTGCCGCAGCCCGGGGCCGGGCTGGAGGAGGGGGCGGGCCCCCTGCGTGGGCTGACTTCGCTTAATTAACAACCTCGCACCAAGGTGCAGAAGGAGCTCGCGCGGCCGCTGGGCCAGAAAAACTCGTTGGCCCTGCGGAGCACCAGCGCCAGCGAGGACCGGACGAGGCCGGCTTCCTGCGGGGGGCCGAGCGTTTTGGAGGCTGGCAGCTCGCCGGGCGCCGGGGGACAGCGCGGCAGCGCGGACTACGGCGGCGCCGCCCGCGAGCTCGATCTAATTTGGCCAGGGCCTCGCGCCGCCGGGGGCTTGCTGCAGCAACCGGACTCGCGCCGGCCCGCGCGCGGGCCGCCTCTGCGGCGAGCCGCTCTGCAGCAAGGCGCGCCACGCCTCTCGGTGTCCCTGCGGCGGGGGCGTCGACGCCCGCAGCAGGGATGTCGAGGACGTGTGGGGGCGCATTCACACCGAGAGCGGCTTCCACGCGGGCCGCCAGGTTCCCGTTCCCGCGCGGGGCCCGCGGGCGCGGCGATTCGCCCCGTGCGACGCGGCGGGCGCGGCCAACCAGCAGCCGTGCCCCTGCGCCGCCTGCGGCCAGCCGCTGGAGGCCCAGCGCGAGGAGGCGATCCTCGACCTCGAGGTGCAGCGTGCCGGCTGTCCGCGCGTCCATCGACGTGACTGTCCGGCATGCTGTGCCCGGAGACGCCGACGGGCTGGCCGCCGCGGCCCAGCGCGAGGGCGCGGTCAACGCCGCGGCCGAGGCCGACAAGAGGCGGCGGTGCCCCGAGGCCCGCTGCCCCTGGCCGCTGGTGCCGCCTCCCCTTGATCGGAAACTGGAGCATACACATTACTAGTGGCGGGCGGTTTTTTAATCCCAGGACTTTTTCAGGGTCGGGGACGATGTCGGGGTGGTGTGGTGTATGATTGTTTCCCCATTTCCCCGGGGAAGCAGCGAAAAATGTATTCACCAGGATCCCGTATACACCAGGATCCGCTTTCCTATGCGAGTTTCTCTGCGAGGCCAGACAAAGGCGTCGATGTATATAGAGTCCGGCTCCTTACTTGAAACAGGCGGCCGGCACGGCAAGGCGGCGCTGCGCTACCTCCGCCAGCGCGCGCGGGACCGAGCGGAACTGGTGGACGAGGAGCGCACCGCGGCGGTGGCCAGCGCTCTGGCGCAGCGCTGGGGCGCTGAGCTCAGCGTCGTTTTGCACCGCGCCAAGGCGCGGCCGCTGCGAACCGCCTTCGGCGGGGGCCGCGCTGCCCGGGCCGCCGAGACGCGGGCGGATGTGGCCGGCTGAGCCGGCACATCGTGGTGCTCTGTTGGGTGTTCGTGCTGCCCTACGAGCCCAGGGCGCGCGTCGGGCGTGCGTCTGTGACAGACTCGCCGCTGCGCTTGCGGGATGAGGAGGAGGAGGAGGAAGAGGAGGAGGAGGAGGAGGAGGAGGACGAGGAGGAGGAGGAGGAGGAGGACGAGGAGGAGGAGGAGGAGGACGAGGAGGACGAGGAGGACGAGGAGGACGAGGAGGACGAGGAGGACGAGGAGGAAGACGGAGGAAGACGGAGGAGGAAGAGGAGGAGGAGGAGGAGGAGGAGGAGGAGGAGGAGGAGGAGGAGGAGGAGGGGGAGGAGGAGGAGAAGGAGGAGGAGGAGGAGGAAGAGGAGGAGGAGGAGGAGGAGGGGCAGAAGGTGCCGAGGCCTCTCTGTGCCCGCGCCGCAGATGGTTCGATGAGAGGTTTCTCCTAGATCTTCTGCCTGTGGGGGGGCCCTCTGCGGGCACCGGGGCGGTCAAACATATCGATCCGGGACGAAAATTCTAGGCAACGATAAACATCGAGGAGCACTTTGGAGCATCTTGCTAAGAAATACCCGAAACCGAAAAATGCACGAGGCATGGACGTCCGAGCGATGGCGAATAGGGGGGGGATGCATCGACCGCCGGCGAGTGGGGGGGGGATGCATCGACCGCCGCTCGCCCAGTGATCGCCGGTAGGGGCCCGATAGCCCCACCCCGCCCAGGAGCGTGCAGGTTCCCCATCGGCGCCCTGTCGCCGATCTTTTTCAGGAGGGGAAAAAACACACAAACACAATTAATCGTCGACTCCCCAGAAAATATAGGAAAATATGGGAAGTGGGGGGGAAGACAAAAACCCAGAAAATATGGGAAAACATGGGGAATTATTTTATTTGTGTGTATTTATTTGTGTGTCCCAGTTTCCCTTCACTTTTGGCGGTGTATTGCCGATTCCAGGTCGATGTGTCCCCCCTGTGGCAGCCCTCCCGTATCGCTGCCCGTCGGAAGGGTGCCCAGGGTGGGCCCCACGAAGTGTCAGGGGGGTCGTCGACGAGGGGATCGACTGCAGCAGCGATCTGCCCCCAAACGTGTTGTTCGTCGAGTCTGCGAGCAAGCACGTATAACGCTTGTAGATCTACGAAGAGTCTGCGTCTGTTTCGTGGGCTCGGCGAAAACAGAAGTCTGGGGCAAATCGATTCTGCAGTCGATCCCCTACTCGGAGACGATTTGGGAGATTTCAGTTGCCGCCGAAGAGCAGGAGATTCCGATACCGCTGCCCTTCCCTCACTGTTGCTTCCAGGGCCTTCTAGTGGGGGGGGCGGGCGTCTCGTCACGGTCGGGTTCGCTTCGCAGTCCTAGTCAGAACGCACCCCAGGAGAGGCCCAGGGATCTGCGGCATCCTCCCCCCCTCCCCCCCCTCCCCCAGCGGGGGGTGCAGGCCAGAGGGCGACAACCGCAGCGGGCGCAGCCTGCCTGCCGGCCAGGAGCCCCGTGGATCCAGACGAGTGGGGGGGCACCGTGGGATGGGCCAAGCGGGGCGACGAGCGTCCCCGTGGAGCTCGTCTCCCAGCGATCCTCCTCGTGCGCACCTCCTGTGATGGGTCGAGTTTCCACCGCCACTGCCACAGGGCGGGCGGAGGAGAGGGGAGGATGGGGAGGTCCTCCTCCTTCTCCCCCTCATGCTTCCTCCTCCTCCTCCTCCTCATCATCATCATCCTCCCTTTCCTACCTATGGTAGTGGTGGTGGAGAATCGGCCCATCATCTTTTGTGTATCTCCACCGATCCTGGCCAGGCCGGCCGATCCTGGGCCCAGGATGGGTGCGGTTGTGCAGTTGCTGTCCTCTCGTGAGGGGCCGGGTGCGGAGTCCTTGCTGAAGGAGGGCGGGGCGCTCTTGGACCGAAAGCGCCCGGTCATCAACGAGCCCTCCAAGTACCAGGGCTACATAGAGGAGATCTCGCGGGCCATCGTCGTCCACGATGAGGGTGCCCTCGCTGTTGCAGATTACGACGGATCGGATAACAAGGTTCGCGACGGGACCATCCTCTTTAACGTTGTTGGGACATGCCCTTCCAACTTAATGTGCACCGACCAGGCCGTGACCGTCGCGGACTTTGGAGGCAGCGTGGTGGCCTATTGGAGCAAGCCGCACCCAGAGATCAAGGGGTGCACGCGGGAACGTCACGTTAAGAAGGGCGATTGCAAGAACGATTCGGACAAATTTCACGCGTTGGAGCAGCTCTTCAGAGACGGGGGTGACTACTACATCGACTCATCCACGAAGAGGGCAGTGGTCAAGAAGGGCGGGGAGAATCTGTATATCTACCTTGTTTACGCCTCTCACTGGAGCAGCTGGTATAACACCATGGATGGGTGGCTGCTCTACCAGAAGGACCCCAAGGTCCAGGAGTTCTTCCGCATCCAGTTTCAATCCGGCAAGGATGCGAAATTCCACTTCGTAGGCGAAGGTGAGGGCCTCGGCAATTTCTGGCCCGCGAAGTGGGAGGTAGACCTTCCGTGATGAGCCATTCCCGCTGCTGTTGCTGTTGTTGTTGTTCTGCTGCTGCGTCGTCAAACGACGGCTTCTTGCATCCCCACCACCTGGGAGGCGCCTCGTACGATATCTTTGGCGAGAATCCCGCCTGTGAACTGACAGCCCCGAGCAAGGCAAGAAGTCGACAGCCCCCCCCGCCAACAGTGCCCAGCAGGGCACTGACCAGAGCACGGCGTCGCTTTGCTCACTGGATGTTCGAGCGGGAGGTAAGGATGAGGGGGGAGGGATGCGGAGGCGGAGGCGTCGGAGGAGGAGGAGGGGAGGAGGAGGAGGAGGAGGAGGAGGAGGAGGAGGAGGAGGGGGGCAAAACATGGAGGACCCAGCAGGAGAGCTGGTGGTCGAAGGGGGAGTGTAATGCATGCCGTCGCACCCCTGGGGCTCCCTCCATGCTCCCTCCATGATCAGGGAGCGGCGGTCAAGTTGCTCCTCCTCCTCCTCCTCCTTCTCCTCCTCCTCCTCCTCCTCCTCCTCCTCCTTCCTCGTCCTCGTCCTCCTCCTCGTCCTCCTCCTCTCTCCTCCTCCTCCTCCCTCTCCCTCTCCTCCTCCTCCTCCCTCCTCCTCCCTCCTCCTCCTCCTCCTCCTCCTCCTCCTCCTCCTCCTCCTCCTCCTCCTCCTCCTCCTCCTCCTCCTCCCTCCATGATCAGGGAGCGGCGGTCAAGTTGCCGGCTGCTGGCAGTGGAAGATGCGAGCGCGTTTCTTCGAATAATAACTACGTAAGCACAAATTTTCGGAGTTCCGCGCTGACTTCTCGGATCTGTGTTGGGCCCCAAACCCTGGCGCGCAGAGCGCGCCAGGGGCTTCCAGCGCCGATCCAAGAAAGCAGAGCTTCGAAAGTTTAATGTGCATGCAGCTTTTTTCTTATTCTAAGTCTGGTAGTTTTGCGCGTCTCGATAATCGCCAGGGGGTGCCACCCCGCCTGCAGCCACAAACAGACCCCCATATGCGGGCAACCGCCGTCCAGCGAGGGCTCCGGGTGCGCCGACGACCCCTCAATTTCGAGCTGTATGCAGCAAACAGTGGGTTCTTGCACGCTCAATGTGCAGTCTGCGTGGTGCAATCTGTCGGGCAGTCAATGTGCTGCAGGCCACTATGTGGTGCTCATTGTGGGGTGCAACCCGTGTGGCGCAACTCACTTGCGGAATTTGAAGTCGCCAACTCCGATGATCGAGCAGATCTCCCACCCACCCACCCGCAGCTGGTTGGCAAAACTCAGCTGGCGTGAGGACTCGAGGGCCCTTCTCATGAAGATGATGACGGTGGCGCTGGTGACACGAGCAAAATCGAGCTGCCAATCAAGGGGATGAACACGGTTCTTACACGCGAGTCGCCCCAATGGGTCAGCGAATTGGGCACGGTTTGGGCAGCGTTTTCGCTTTGTGCCCAGCGCAATCTTAGGGTTGCTCAGCGTGTGCTGCCCTCCAGCTCCTCCGTACTTTACCCTGTATCCGGGTGAAGAGAATTATGCACATGCACCGATCCTGACAACGCCCATCTTTGACCCAGGATCGGTGCATATACCTTCCTGGCCAAGGTAAGAGGGCGTATCCACCGATCGTGGGCTCAGGATGGGCCTGGCCAGAATCGGTGTATGTGCGTAGTTAATGTTCCTCTCTGTATGTTCTTTTTCGCCATTTCTTACGCACGTTCCTCGCCCGTTCCAGCCCCCTCCTCCACATCGTTTTTTTCTACCACGGCATAAGGTTAAGTCGGGCCTGTCCCTCTACAGGGAGAATATTCAAACATAATCAAGAATAGTATGGGATCTATGCCTCCACAGTAGCTGTTATTTCCTCTTTGCCTGCCAAATATAACCACTGCGCGAGCAACAGTCTTGCCAACTCTTAGTCGCCGCCCTCTGGGCAACGCTGCTGCACCTGGCTATGCAGCCAGCGCAACATCAAACAGTAACCAAAGCGCTGCGGGGTTAAAAAAAAAAAAAAAAAAAAAAAAGTATGGGATCTATGTTTTGAGTATTGTTTTGACCATGTTGGAGTAACCCCGAAGGGGTGATGATACAGGTGTCCCCTTGTCCCCCTATATTTTCTATCCCCGCCCACAGGGATTTATATGTGGGGAAGGCGCGGGGGTCGAACTTGATAATCACCTGGGAAGTTGCGGGGATCGACGTTGCTATCACATCATGTTGATTAGCAACAGCATCAAAAACGCGAAGCATGGTCATGATGGTCTCGACACACCAGCTTCCGCAATCACGAGCGTGCGGCAGGGCTGTGGGAGTCTCGAGTAATCTCAGTGTAGTGCGCCTCTGCGGGCATGTAGCCACGAGCCTCGAGATCGCTCGAGTCAGGCCTCTGTCGTGCGCCTGGTTTAACCTCCTCCTCCTCCATCATCGTCAACATCATCATCATCATCATCATCATCATCATCATCATCATCATCATCATCATCATCATCATCATCATCATCATCATCATCATCATCATAACTTACCCTCCCCGGGAACATCCTTTAGTATCCCCGCGGGAGCCGCGAACTTTCTTATCCCAGGGGGTTGGTTATCCCCCTTCTCTTCTGTTTTTGTTTTAGAACCTTTTTATTGTTCGTCCAAAATCCCCCTGTAGGGGGACACGCCCGACTTGAGCATAAGGATCTCCAGTCAACATTGTGAGGTGCCCGCTTTTGCTCTGGCGCGGGCCTTTATGCGGCCTGCCCGGACCGTGCCTGCCTCCGCGCCGCGAGGCCATAGATTTCGGCCGCAATCCCTCGAGGAGGCCTTTTGGTGACGGCTGCGGCGTCGTCTCGTGCGGCGGATCGTGCCGAAGCACGTTGCCTGCCCCCCAAAAGCAATGCCCAGGGGCCCCCATGGTAGGGCGACGAGATCTATGCATATCCACTGCTCCTGGCCAGGCCCATCCTGGGCCCAGGAGCGGTGTATACGCCCTCCTGGCCTGGCCAGGGAGGCATATACACATCTCCTGGGCCCAGGATGGGCAAGGCCAGGAGCAGTGGATATGCATAGATCTCGTCGCCCTACATGGGAGGACCCCCCCTTCCCAGTGCTGCTCGGAGCACTCCTGGCCGATCCCTGGCGCCACGCAGGCCCCCAAGGAGGGCCAACGGTGCTCCCTTTCTGGCTCCAGGCCAGGGTGGCTCCAGGAGTCGACCAGAGCCTTCGAGGAGGGCCTCCTCTCCCGTGTTCTCGCTCGCCCCCCTCCTGCTGCCGCCGCTGCTCGTCCCCCTCCCCATTCCTCTTACCTCCTGCTCCTGCTTTTCAGGATCTGCCTGGGGTGCGACCACATGGTCGACGACGATGCCCCCAGAGACCGCCATGAGGGCCCTCAACAATGCAAGATAGCGTCAGGGGTCACCAAGACTTTGCCTAGATGGCCCCAGAGAGCCCCGATTCCTGGAGGGGCATGTTGTTGGGCTCAGTTGTTGGTCTGCCTAGACGCCTCTGAGGCTGCGAAATGCCAAGAGGGCCCCAAGAGGGTCCCAACACCAGGGACGGTAAAACAGCCCCAAGTGATTTAGCATCAGGCCTAACTCGGCCACTGCGCGCTCTCGGCCCGAGGCGGCTCTTGGGCTCAGGAGCCGCCGCGAGCCTTCAATGGGAGGCCAGGCTCCCTGGACCCTCTTGGAGCGCCCCTCTGTCATGTTTGGATTATCTTGCGGCACCGTGGGTGCATCTTTACAGTCGAGCATATGATCAAGAAGCCTCCTCCCGAAAAGTTCGGCCAGCATTTCTTAACCACTTTGCTGGAAAGCTGGTCCAGTTTTCTAAGCAGGTTCGTTCCTCCAGCGTGAACAAAGCAGTTGGCCCAGGCTCGTGTTAAGACGTTTCCGGGAAGCTGGCCCAGATGTCTCAGATGATGAGTTGTTTGACCATCTGTTCGATTGTAGTCGTTCATGGACTTCTCCGAAGCCTTTGGGTACCATCCTCGACTGCACGGGTGGGAGTACTAGAAGTGTTTAGGCACGGCAGGTGTTGGTTTGGTTTCTGGTTGTTTTTTAGCGAAGCGGTTATCATACTGGGACTCTGCAGTTGCCCTCGCGGGACGGCCTAGTGGTCACCGAGCTCGCGCAGAATGTGCCAGGAGGGTGAAACTTTCAGAACGCGGTTTCCCAAATCCTCGCCTCCATGACGCGCTGCCAGGCCCCAATGCCGCCAGAGCGCCCATGGTTTCACCTTAGAACGTCTGGCGCCCCGGAGTTGTCTGACATGGCAGCGTGCCTCCATGACGCCCCGAAAACAGCCCCTGGGTGGCCCAGCACTGGGCGTCACTCGGCCCCCGGCACGCCCTCGGCCCGGGTGACGGCCCAGGATGCCGCTGTAGAAGCCCTGAAGTCCCCCCACCCCTTCCTCCCTCCCTCCCTCCCTCCCTCCCTCCCTCCTCCCTCCTCCCTCCTCCCTCCTCCCTCCTCCTCCTCCTCCTCCTCCTCCTCCTCCTCCTCCTCCTCCTCCTCCTTCTCCTCCTCCTCCTCCTCCTGAGACAGCTCGAGGATTCCCCCGGAGACCCCAAGGCACGCCCAGACGGCCCCAAGGTCCTCAGAGGGCCTCCGACATGCTCCCAGGAGCAGCGAAGGGCCCACGGGACCCCGGGCGCCTCGTGACGTGCAGCCACCGTGCTGCGACGCTGCCTCGTCCCGCGCCCCGTGCCATGCCGAGGGCCACCGGGCGCAGGCTGGGTGGAGGAGGACGCACGAGCACGAGGAGGACGAGACGGGCGGAGGTGGATAGACCTCCCACCTTGACACGTCGATTCAGGAACTGGCCGTGTTCGGTTCCCGAGAGGGCGTCGCGGCCGTCAGTTTTGCGGGTCCAGGTCCGTCGGTTTCGGTCCCAGGCCGCTTTCACTGAGGCTAAGGGGAGGTTTACTAAAGGGAGGTTTGTCCACCGCCGAGATGGGCAAGGCCGAGGCTCAGGAGGAGAAGCAGGAGCAGGAGGGGGCGGAGGAGCGGGGTGAAGAGGAGGAGAGAGGGGGATGCTGGCGAGGGGAGATGGAAGG